ATGCCAGGTGGGGGGCCTGCCCGAGCCCACGCTGTCCTGGGAGAAGGACGGGATGGCGCTGGACGAAGTGTGGGACAGCAGCCACTTCGCGCTCGTGCCGGGCCGCGCCGAGGGCAGCCGGGGCGTGAGCCTGGCGCTGCGCATCCTGGCGGCGCGGCTGCCCGACTCGGGCGTCTACGTGTGCCACGCCCGCAACCCGCACGGCCACGCGCAGGCCGGCGCGCTGCTCCAGGTTCACCAGCCCCCCGAAAGCCCGCCCGCCGACCCCGACGGAGCGCCGGCGCCCGTGGTGGAGCCGCTCAAGTGCGCGCCCAAGACCTTCTGGGTGAACGAGGGCAAGCACGCCAAATTCCGCTGCTACGTGATGGGCAAGCCCGAGCCCGAGATCGAATGGCACTGGGAGGGCCGCCCGCTGCTGCCTGACCGCCGCCGCCTCATGTACCGCGACCGCGACGGCGGCTTTGTGCTCAAGGTGCTCTATTGCCAGGCCAAGGACCGCGGGCTCTACGTGTGCGCCGCGCGGAACTCCGCGGGCCAGACGCTCAGCGCCGTGCAGCTGCACGTCAAAGGTACCCGTGCCTCCCGGGGAGGTGGCACAGAAGGGGAAATGCCACTCTGCGACTATCGGGAGGGTTTCTAGAAACTTCTGAAAACTTTATGGAGTCTCAGACAGAAGGTGCCAAAACCGGGGCCTCTTCCACCTCTTCCAGTACAGTGGTTGCCAGAGAGAGAGCTGGCTCTCCCCTCCCCGCTGAATTCCAAAAGATTTGTTAGCTGGGTCCAAGAAGCATCTGGGGTGCGTGCTTAGGTCCAGACTCTAATTGATCTTTTTTGGGGGGCGGTGGGGCAAACATTTAAAATGGAGGCTGCCCTCAGAACCCCATCTAGCCTGTGACCCCGCACGGCATCTTGTGGAGAAACCTCTGACTTACACTAAAGGTGGTGGTATGTCATCAGGCCAGTTTCTACACCTGGAGACTCCATGTGACCTATGGGGCTGCCCCAGCAGGGTGCTCAGCTGTAACATTCCAGGGAGCCCGGTGCAGAGCTTCTCCGGGGAGTGAGCGATCTTTTCTGTTAACAGAGCTGCTCCAGCACCCCTTGATACTAAGAGATTCTTGCTATTGAGTGGATTCTGACTCCTGGTGACCCTTTGGGACAGAGTAGAACTGCTCTGTAGTAGGAGGCTTCTGAGATTGTAAATCTTTGCAGAAACAAACCCCTTATCTTTCTCCCTCAGAGCTGAGCACCTTATCTCCTACTCCCCGCTCCCCGCACCCCTCCTCCAGCTGACCCCGACCACCATATCTTTCTCCGTCAGAACTGCCTGTCGGGCTTGGGGGTTATCAGCTGGTTAGCAGCCCATCCCTTAACCCCACCAGTGACCCCTCTTACACTAAAACCTCAATAAAGGAAAACTACCCTACCTTAAAAAAGAGAGGCTGAAAATCAACCGCTCCCTGGATCTGAAGGCAGAGGAAATCAAAGGAGCGGGATTGTCGGTTTGCACACTGGGTCACTAGCAATGTCCAATCGATACTTTTATTAGTTACAAAGGAGAATAGTTAGAGGCCAGGGAGAAATACCCAGAACTCACCCTGGAAGTTAATACTCTTCATCATAGGGTTTCATATTACATTTTCCCTAGGGGTTGCCCAACTTGTTCCCTCAAAGGAGGAAAAGCTGGTACATTCCCGTGTGCCCTGCCTGGCCCGCCGTGGGTGTGTTGCCCCCACCGGTGCCTTCTGCGACCCCCTGGCAGGAGCAGCAGCCCTGTGCGGGGCAGAAACTTGCTCTGCCAGCAGCCCACTGGACTTTCTTTAAAGACACAGTTTGGAAAGTGGCTAAAATACTTTCGATGTGGAGTTTTCAAGGTACCACTGGGTGGCGTATATGGCGAAGCACTTAACTACCAGGTGGATGGTTAGAACTTAGAGGCCTCGGAAGACAGTCCAGGCGACGTCCTTCCGCAAGGTCACAGCCGCAGACAAGCTGTGGAGCCATAATGCTTTGCACACGGGTGTCACCCCTGTCAGAACGGACGCAGTGGCTGCCCAGCAGCATGCGGAGGGACCCCAGTGAACAGCCTGGGCCCTGGTGGTGTAGTGGTTACTCCTGGGGCTGCTCATCACAAGACCAGCAGTTCAAAACCTCCAGCCATTCCAATGGAGGAAGACAAGGCTTTCTACTCCTGTAAAAAAGTTACAGTCTCAGAAACCCACCGGTGCTGCTCTGCCCTGCCCTACAGGGTCACTCCGAGTCAGAATCGACCTGACAGCAGTGAATTTGGTTCTTTTAGTCCCTGTTCCCACTTTACAAGGAAGGAAACTGAGGCCCAGGGTCACTAAAGGGGGCTTGCTCGAGGGCATGGGGCCTGGTGATGGGGTTTTGCTGGAGGCCACAGTGCAGGAGGACCAGGAGGATTCCCTCTGCACAGCCACCTCTGTCCCCCTTCTCTGCAGAGCCCCGCCTCCGGTTCTCGAGGCCCCTGCAGGACGTGGAGGGCCGGGAGCAGGGCATCGCTGTGCTGGAGTGTAAAGTCCCCAACTCTCGCATCCCCACGGCCTGGTTCCGGGAAGACCAGCGGCTGCTGCCCTGCCGCAAGTATGAGCAGATTGAGGAGGGCACCGTCCGGCGCCTCATCATCCACCGGCTCAAGGCCGACGACGACGGCGTCTACCTGTGCGAGATGCGGGGCCGCGTGCGCTCCGTGGCCAACGTCACAGTTAAAGGTCGGCTGGCCGGCGGGCGTCATTGAGGAGGCGGCAGGCAGGTGCCCACACCCTGAGCTGATGGCACCCATCCACCTCCCAGGGCCCATCTTGAAGCGGCTGCCCAGGAAGCTGGACGTCCTGGAGGGGGAGAACGCAGTGCTGCTGGTGGAGACCCGGGAGGCAGGGACCGAGGGCCGCTGGAGCCGAGATGGAGAGGACCTGCCGGCCACCTGCCAGAGCAGCTCTGGCCACATGCATGCCCTGGTCCTGCCAGGAGTCACACGAGAGGATGCTGGCGAGGTCACCTTTAGTGTGGGCAACTCCCGGACCACCACTCTGCTCAGAGTCAAATGTGAGGACGGGAGGTGGTAGGCTGGGCTGTCGGGAGCGGGGCAGGAGGGGGCAGGGTACAGGAACCTGGGGATGGCAAAGAGGATCCCAGGTAAGGGACCGTGAGAGGTCTGCCAGGCTCTGCATGCAAACAGCCACCTCTGTCTCAGGCGTCAAGCACAGCCCACCGGGCCCGCCAGTGCTGGCAGAAATGTTCAAAGGCCACAAGAACACCGTCCTGCTGACCTGGAAGCCTCCCGAGCCAGCTCCCCAGACCCCCTTCATCTATAGGCTGGAGCGGCAGGAGGTGGGCTCCGAGGACTGGGCTCAGTGCTTCAGCATCGAGAAAGCCGGCGCCGTGGAGGTGCCGGGCGACTGCGTGCCCACCGAGGGCGACTACCGCTTCCGTGTGTGCACAGTCAGCGAACACGGCCGCAGCCCCCACGTGGTGTTCCAGGGCTCTGCCCACCTTGGTGAGCCGGTCCTGCCAGAGCCTGCCTACCAGCTGTGCCCTCCCCACCAACCCATCCACTCCTTCTACCTTCCTGCCTCTGAGATGCCATGCCCCCTGTTGCCGCTGCCCCTCTCCTGGTCCTGATGCTTGCTCTACCCCCACCCCAGTGCCCACGGCTCGCCTGGTGACCGGTCTGGAGGACGTGCAGGTGTATGATGGGGAGGACGCTGTCTTCTCCCTGGATCTCTCCACCATCATCCAGGGCACCTGGTTCATCAACGGCCAGGAGCTACCAAACAGTGAGCCGGAGGGCCAGGTAGAGCCTGGGGCCTTGCACTACCAAGTGGAGCAGAAGGGCCTACAACATAAGCTCATTCTCCGGTCTGTCCAGTACCGAGACCACGGGGCCCTCGTTGGCTTCACCTGCCCTGGCGTGCAGGACTCGGCTGCGCTCACCATCCAAGGTGAGTGCAGGAGTGGGTGGTGCTCAGGTAGGGGCCAAGACCTAAGTCCTGCTGACTCTCCCCAGTCCACACACGTGGGTGTCAATGGTGGGCTCAGATTGAGGGTTCGGTGGTCCAGAGGACCCACCCACATGAAATGGGGTGTGTGGGGGGTCATGGTTATCTGGATCAGCAGCCCCTCCAAAATTTCCGGAGCACTAACGAAAACTTCAAAGCGGTTGCCGCCATGTTGATGCTGACTGGTGAGGAGCCCGCATGCATCTGAGTAAACTGCTCCATGGGCGTGTGGGGCTTGCGCCGGCTGGTTCTTCCAAAGAGATTGCCAGGTGTTCCTTCCGAGGAGCCTCTGGGCAGACTCAAAGCACCAACCCAACAAGGGCTAACGGTCTGCTCCACTGCGTGCTCTGGGGTCTCCCTAATTCTTTCGCCCTAGTCATCTCATCCAAGAGGTCCCTGGCACCTGATCCCTGCCCTGTCGTCTGGCAAGGGAGCTTCAAGACGCTAGTGGGAAAATGGGATCCAGACATAACAGAATTTTTCCGTGAGCTTGTTGAAGCCCCCTTAGACATTACGGTTTCCTGGGAGCCCGGCCCCATTCTAATCACCTGAACTTTGCCCTCCACGGCGCTGTAAGGGGCTGCAAGGTTAGGACTCGGGGAGATGGGAACACCCTCCAGGGGGCCTCTTCAGGGAGCCAAGCGCTGGTACCACTGAGTCACGGTGGCCCCATTGTACATGTGGGCAGATGCAGGCCCAGAGTAGCTAAGCGACGCTCCCAAGACCACCTAGCCAGTGAGTGGTGTAAGTGCGGGGTTGGAGCCCTGTGAATTGAAGGAGAGGGAATGAATGGAGTCTGGGGGTCACTCTAGCCTGTGCATCTCCCATCACTGTAGTTTGGAAGGCTGGCCAGGACTTACGGGTGCCCAAGTGTAGGCTAGGAGGTAGTTAGCTGCCAGAAATGTAGGCGGAGGGCAGGTGGGCTGTACCCAGTGACCAGAGCGGCTGGGCCTGTCACGTCTTTGTGATAGGTTGCCTCATCAGTCGCTGAAGGGAGTCCTGACTTCTCAGGCAGATTCCTGGCCCTTCTACACGTGGGGTATAAGAACCAGCATATGTAGCAGACACCCCTGTTCTCGGGCACATGAAAACCAGCGCTCTTACCACTTTGCCACTGGTCATTTCCTGCCAAGACTGTCCCACGTGGCCTTGTAGAGTTATAGGCAGAAGTAGATTGCCTTCAGAATTAAAACCCGCATAAACTAATGGAAGGGCAAACGTGTGGCCTCATGACCAGTCAGCAACATCTGGGCATGAACATGAGTATACTTGTGACCGGTCAGCACGACACCTAAGCCTAAGCCTACTTTTTAAACCCAACTGGCCTCCCCAGTACTGACCACAGTTGTCAGGGCTGCCAGAGGGGGCGGTGCTTCGGGTGGTAGGTGACCCTATTTCTCCCCCCTGCAGAGAGCCCAGTGCACATCCTGAGCCCCCAGGCCCCGGTGTCACTGTCCTTCCTGACCTCTGAGCGAGTGGTTCTGACCTGCGAACTCTCTCGGGTGGACTTCCCGGCAAGCTGGTACAAGGACGGGCAGGAGGTGGCGGAGAGTGAGGCCCTGGTGGTGAAGGTGGATGGCTGCAAACACCGCCTGATTCTGCCCGCTGCCGAGGTCCGGGACAGCGGGGAGTTTGAATGTAGGGCGGAGGGGCTCTCTGCCTTCTTCAGCATCACTGTCCAAGGTCAGGATCGAGTGCCCCGCGTGCTTCCCACTGAGGCCGAGTGAGCCCTGCCCCTGGCCAGCGGCTCTCTGCAGGTCACAGCAGGGAAGAGCTAGTGGTGGGGACCTGTTTTGCAGTCACTTGCTTCCACACGTACCCTCTGCTGCACATGAGGCATGACGCTCTCTTCTGTTAGGATGCAGGGAGATTTGGGAGGACCCTCCAGGGAGCCTCTCAAGTGCTGTGTTCAAATGCTGCCAAACCCTGCACCCACTTCACAGCTATCAGAATGGGTGGGCCCATTGCTCACGCGACCCATAGTGACTCCCGGGTGCAACAGGACAAACCAGCCCCCAGTCCTGTACCACCTTCGCAACCGCTGCTCTGTTTATGCCCTGTGTTAGCCTGAGTTAGATGCCAGGTACCTCTAATATGCATTCCCTCCTTTCGTCTTCCCTGAAAGAGAGGCAAGAAGCCCTGGCTGCTAACTACAAGCTCATGAGTTCGAACTCACCAGCCACTCTGTGGGAAAAAGCTGAGGCTGTCTGCCCCTAACAAGATGAATATTGCCTCTGAAACCCACTGGGGCAGTTCTGTTTTGTCCTACAGGGCAGCTGTGGGTTGAGGTCCACCAGATGGCAGTGAGTTTGAAATGACAAGGTGACCGAGCAGGACACGAGTCCCCAGGGGACTGCGTGAGTGCCTCATCACACAGTTAGCACACACCATTGCTGGAATTGGCACCCGGCTGAGCTTATCCTACTTGCCCTGTGGCTTTTCAATCAAAGCGCAGCGGAGTGGAAGTGTCAGAGCCTGCCTGCTCTAGAACCGCTCAAGAGCTTGTTCTACAAGCCTGTGTCCGGCCCGCAGGCCTGCAGAACAGGCAGGATGAACCTTCGGGGGGTTCGAATCCACAGACACTGATCTAGCTCAGCTTCCCACTTGAGTGCAAATCCTGAATGCCCCCGGGGAGCTCTCTACTTGGAGGTATCAGCCGCCCTAAAGGCAGCACAAGTAGGTTTCCTTGTAGAGCAGCAGCAAGGGTAGCCTGCGGAGTGACTTCCGTCAGCCACAGTACAAACCCCGTGCCTCCCCACACCCGTGTCCCTACCCAGGTACCTCAGGTACCACAAGACCTGCCAGGCCTCCCCTGCACAGTACAGCATCACCCCCAGCCCCTCCCACCACGAGGAACCTGTCCCCAGCCAAGCAACCAGTGTGGACTGGTGTCTCCCGTGCGTGGGTGGGTGTGACCCCCCCTCTCCACCCCTTGCCCAGACCCCCCTGTGCACATCGTGGACCCCCGGGAGCACGTGTTCGTGCATGCCATCACTTCTGAGTGTGTTGTGCTGACCTGCGAGGTGGACCGGGACGAGGCCGACGTGCGCTGGTACAAGGACGGCCAAGAGCTGGAGGCAGGCGACTTCCTGGTCCTGGAGAAGGACAGGACCCGTCACCGCCTGGTGCTGCCCGCTGCCCAGCCTCCGAATGGCGGCGAGTTCCAGTGCGTGGCTGGGGAGGAGCGTGCCTACTTCACCGTCACCATCACAGGTGGGGGCCTCGGGCTTCAAGGGCCAGGAGCCATCTCTCCTGGGACGCAGGTCCCAGACCCCCACCCCCACCGCGCTGCTCTTAACAGAAGTGTGTCCTCTTGCTTAGGCAGCTAGATGTTCAGAGTCAGCTGGCTCTAGGGCAGCGGTTCTCAACCTGTGGGTTGTGACCCTTTTGGGGGATTCAACGACCCTTTCACAGGGGTTGCCCGATTCATAACGGTAGCCAAATGACAGTGATGAAGTAGCAACGAAAATCTTATTATGGTTGGGGGGTCACCACCACGTGAGGAACTGCATGAAAGTGTGGTGGCCGTAGGAAGGTTGAGACCCACTGCTCCAGGGGAAGGTTTTGTGCATGCCCCTGGGAAGGATGCCGGTCACTGTCTGAGCTGCTGGTCCTCCATCCTCTTCAGGTGGCTTGGCCTCTGTCTTCCTGTCTTTTCTGGCCTGTGCGGCCACTGCCCTGTGTATGTCTCCTGGGGACGGGTTGAAGGCACAGCCTGACTGTGCCCAGGGCCGTCCATTGGTCCTCCTGGCTGTCCTGTACGACAGAGTGCTACTGCCCCACCGAGTGGCCTAGGCCAGCACCTCTGTGGACCGGGCCAATGGCCTAGAGGTTAAATACTTGGCCGCTAGCCTAAAGGCTGGCCATGCGCACCCACCAGCCCCCAAAGGTCAGCGGTTCGGACCACCAGCCGTTCTGCAAGAAGAAGAAAGATGAGCAACCGCTCCCAGGAAAGATAGAAGCAAAGCACTTCTGTCGCTATCACGCTGCTGGCTGCTGGTGGTGTCTTTCCGATGGGAGACTGCCACCTCTTTCTCCCCAGTGCTGAACGAGTGCGGCACCAGGGCCCCCTCCCTTCGGTGCAGGTGGCACTGTTACCATGATGGAGCCCCGCCCCTGTGGTATTGCAACCACAGGCACGGGGTTAAGATTCACAGCGCATGGTTTGGGGATCACATCGGTAACCCCATTTCTCCCCACACCCGGGTGCGTGTGCTGAGGGCACTCATCATCCTTGGTCTCCCGAGGAGCCTGAAAGGGTGCCTGTAGGGGAGGCACTTCTGCTTCAGGGGAGGGTCTGGGGCAATGGGCTCAGATCTGGGGTCCTAAGGACCTGGCTTTGCCCTGGGGGACCCCAGCTCCATCTGAGGGTCCCCTTCCCTCGGTATAGTCCAGAGTGTGGGGATCTACAGCATGGCCCGCTGGGCCTCCTTGCCCCAAGTGCCTGGTGTGCATTGGGGGAGTGACTGCCTGGCTGTGTGTCGCTGACTGGGGCCAGTCGGATATATGGCTGTGCCTCTGTCTTCCAACACGTGGCCCACCTGCCAGGGGTAAGGGATAGGCCTGGGCAGGAGGGCTCGTCGGCCCCTCACACCCAGGAGCGACTGTCCCTGTCCTCCAGACGTGTCTTCGTGGATTGTGTACCCCAGTGGGAAGGTGTACGTGGCCGCCGTGCGGCTGGAGCGCGTGGTGCTGACCTGCGAGCTGTTCCGGCCCTGGGCGGAGGTGCGCTGGAGCAGGGACGGAGTGGAGGTGGCCGAGAGCCCCTCGCTGCTGCTGCAGAAGGAGGACACTATTCGCCGCCTGGTGCTGCCTGCCGCCCAGCTTGAGGACTCCGGGGAGTACCTGTGTGAAATCGATGACGAGTCCGCCTCCTTCACCGTCACTGTCACAGGTATGGGCCCCACCCACGGATGACCCTGAGCCTGGGGGAGCTGGCCCATGCAGGAGAGGGTGGCGGGCTGGGGCTACCTGGCCCAGAGAGCCCAGACCCAAAGCTCGTTCCTGAGAGGGTGCTGGAGTGGGGGGGACACACGTCCCTGCCCTCCGAGTTGCCAAGTCTAGCTGGGGAGGCAGCTGCTAACCAGGGGTCCCAAACGGGCAGTCCCCAGGGCGCCCTGCAGCCCCCAGACATGTTGTGCTTGGCCCACAGAGTCGTACCAAACTCAGGACAGTTCAGATAACAACCCGGATTTATGCGTCCTCTTGAAAAAGCCGAAGAACCGGCCGCTGTGGTCCCGCTTCCCCCCTTGGCGGCGAACAGCTGGTGCTGAGTAGCAGCTGCCCCATCGGGCGGGCCGTGCCGCAGCCCCCACCCATCCCTTTCACCTCACTCCAAACCACTTCAGCCACTGCCCTTATCCTTGGGGGCTCTGAGTGTGCACCCCTGTGTTAACACCAATAAACAAGACACGTGTCCGCCGCTCACACCTGTGGAGAGTGCTGTGGAGGACGGGGCAGCGGGGTGGCGGGGGCAGGCCCTAGAGGACACCGCCATCCACAGACACTGGACAGGGCCCTGCTCCCCCCACCCCCCACCCCCAGGCCAAGGCGACAGGTCGTGCCTCCTGAGCTGGCACAGAGAACAGCTCACCAGGCGAAGTGCATGGGGTGGAGGGTCAAAGTGGAAAAGGCTTAGGATGCCGGTGGAAATGCAAGGGGTGCAGTGCTGAAGCTTTGGGCCGCGACCCCACCCCCCAGCACCCATCCTGTTGGGGTGGTGGGGGTGGGGAGCAGGCCTAGGCAGCTCTAGATGACCCTGAAGCCCGCAGCAGCGGCAACCGATTGGCATCTGCTGTGGCAGTCTCGTACCAGCCCAGGCTGCACTTCGTAGGGGCTTGCCACCCCCACCCCTGACCAGACGTCAGGAGCACAACCACACAATCCCAGCCCACATTTCGCCTTCCCACAAAACACCAAGCCCTTCGTGGGGACGCCTGTAGAGATGCCACTGTGCCTGTGACCCAGGGAGAATCAAGTTTGAGGTCTCATGGCTGTGCCCCACCCCTATCCACTGCTCCCCAAGGTCCCCTGCCCCATCCCTCAGCCAGACAGCACCCAGCTACTCTCCTCCCACCTTGCTGAGTCCCAGAGAGCCAGCCCGAGGCCTCCAGACTTAAGCCTAGGCTGGGTGGTGGGATTGACTGGTGGGCTCCATTGCAGGCTCTCTGCCCTCTGCCCATAGAGGGCATGCTCATGCACACACACACACACACACACACACACCCAAAAAACACCCACCACCACCAGGGGACCAGACGCTAATGGTGCTCTAAACTCTGGGGAGCTTGGAG